TCCTACTACGGCCGCTCGGCCGCTGGCCCCGGCGCGCAGCAGCCGCTCCCCCAGCCTCAGCCGCGGCCCGAGCAGTCGCCGCCCCCCGCGCCCCGCGAGCTCCAGGGGCCGCAGCTGCCCGAGGCGGCGGCCGGGGCGACCAGTTATCGGAGCAGCCCCTGGCAGCAGCCACCTCCGCTGCAGCAGCGGCGGCGAGGACGCGAGCCCGAAGGCACGACGGGGCTCCCCGGCGTCCCCGTGGCCGACGGGGAACCCGAGGAGTCGGACGGGGTCGCGGCTGGGCAACGACGTGGCGGCCGGCCGGGGAGTAGCCACAACGGCAGCGGGGACGGGGGCGCCGCCGCCCCGAGCTCCCGACCCCGGGGCTTCCTGTATGTGGGGGTGATGACCGCGCAGAAGTACCTGGGCAGCCGCGCGCTGGCGGCGCAGAGGACCTGGGCGCGCTTCGTCCCCGGCCGCGTGGAGTTCTTTTCCAGCCAGCAGCCCCCCAACGCCGGGCTTGGCCAGCCCCCGCCACCCCTGCCTGTCATCGAGCTGCCGGGGGTAGACGACTCCTACCCTCCCCAGAAAAAGTCTTTCATGATGATCAAGTACATGCACGACCACTACCTGGACAAGTATGAGTGGTTCATGCGCGCCGACGACGACGTCTACATCAAAGGTGACCTCTCAGCGCCGGCTGTCCCGTCTGCTCGCCTCCCCGCCGCCTTTCTCCGCTTCCAGCCCCAACCCTGCCCACCCGCTCTGCTTGTCTCTCAGCTGGCGCTCCGGGCTCCTGCAGCCCCCAGCCCGCCGTTCCCACCCCTTGCATCCTCCCACCATTCCTGGGCCGCTCCTCCTCCTCTGCTGCGGCTGGGCCCTCACACCTGCCCGGCTTTATCCGCCTTCCCACGCTTGCTCGTCTCGGTTCCACCCAGCGCGTGGTCCCTACTCTTTACCTTGTGGGAAGGTGAGGACAGAGATTTTAAGATTCACTCTGCACTGCTCTGCAAGCCCGGGGTGGTGACAGGTTCCCCAATCTGCCCAGAGGGGCGTGTCCTCGGTGGAGGAAGGAGAGACCGGGGACGCGGGCGAGAGCCGGTCTGGAGATCGGTGTTCTTGCTTTGTTCTCCAACCCTTTTGTTTTAATGGATCTAGCGCAGTTTCGGAACTGGGAGATGGAGGAATTGCCTTCGCTGTCCCGGACCCTTCCCTGTGCGTTTCCTTCCCTTTCTCACGACCCCACCACACACTGGGAGTCTTTGAGCACCCCCATCGCTCCGCGCGCGGCTCCTTGCAGCCGCTTCGGTGCTGCACTAAGCCGCCCCCACCCCCGGCCACGCCTCCGTAAAACCCCAGGCGATGGGGGTATTGTCAGGATCGGCGGTGGGGAAGAAGGGGACAGCGCCCGCGAATTATCCAGAACCTAGGGGCTCCCAGCTGTGTTAACGCACATACTAGTATGGATGCTTTCCAGCCCGTCTTGGTGGCTGCGGCGATAAGCAAAGGCTGGAAGTCCCCCAAACTCTGCGCAGCCACCGCATGAGAAAACTTTGTCAGCTGTTTAAAGAGGTGTGGTCCTTCACCCTGAGTGTGGGTGGCTCTGGCCAGAGATTTATAAACTCAGCGGAGAGAAGTTCCTTAGAACAGGAGTAAATCTTTCCAGTCCAGCCTATTGCGGAGATAGAGAGGGACGCAGGGAAGTCGCACGGCTGTCTGGAAGGTCTTCCTGTGCTTCCCAGGCTTCCCTGCTTCTTGGTCAAACGGGGGCAGCCCTTCCTTAGTTTCTGCCTCTCTACTTGAAGCCTCATTGCTTTCTCCTGATCCAGGTAGTAGCACCTTTCACAGGACTCATGGAAAAACAAACATTTGTCTTAATGCTTTGAAAGATTGTCCTGCAGAACATTGAGATGCAATATTCTTTCCATTTCTATTAAGAATGAAAGGCATTTTATTATTAAGAACCCAATAACAGTCAGCTGAAACTCATTGAGATCCAAGGGGCGTGGCATGGGGTCAAGATAATGACTACAGATGCTGTGCTCATCAAATATGATAGTAAAGATGCTGACTGGGAATATAAAGAAGCTGACTACTTATTCCAATGTGTCAGCTTGTAGAATACCAAATGCTTTTGAACTGTGTTAGCTATAGATTTTTATTTTTAAATTGTCTCTCCTGAAGAACTCACGAACTATAAGTAAACCAATTATGTTCTTTAATTTGTAACAAATGTTTATTTTTTTCTAAATGGGTGCCCTTCAAAGTTCCAAGGTTAAATTTCAAGACAAATTCAGGACAAAACAGTAAACTAAATCAATTGTCAGGAAAAAATAATTATTGGATATCAACAGTGCCAATCAATGCTAGATATCAATATTTAATATTCTATTTCTGGGAATTTTAGTATTCCTTCAAACATGCTAAGAAACCTCTTTATTCTCCCTGTCATTGTTTCACCTTAAAAAAAACTGATGATTTTTAGCATTATTAAAGTTTTTCAGTGACCTTGACTAGAAGGTTGATAAAATTTTATTACAATTAGTAACTATAAATTAATATTTAAAAAATAATATATTCAGAGAGGTTTTTCTTCTTTATAATTGTATAAGACTTATGGGGAGTTTACACACAATATAAGAAATTCTGTCCCTTACTTTCTACGTATAAATGATTATGAAATTAGGGAGAGGAATGATTGTTGCCTTTTCCTTTGTAGGTGACAAGCTAGAAGAGTTTCTCAGATCACTGAATAGCAGCAAGCCCCTCTACCTGGGCCAGACTGGCCTGGGGAACATTGAGGAACTTGGAAAGCTGGGGCTGGAGCCTGGGGAGAACTTCTGCATGGGAGGGCCTGGCATGATCTTCAGTCGCGAGGTTCTCAGGAGGATGGTGCCGCATATCGGTGAATGCCTCAGAGAAATGTACACGACGCACGAGGACGTGGAAGTAGGAAGATGTGTTCGACGTTTTGGTGGGACTCAGTGTGTCTGGTCTTATGAGGTAAGACTTGAGCTATGATGAACATGTTCCCATATTACAGGTGGGTGCCAGTTTACAGTTTGGGGCAGTGATTCTGTTTATTCTCTCTGTGTCTTTGGATTTGCTTGAAAATGATAGCCCTGGTTATGGACCCAGGATCATTGTGGGACTTACCTTCCTTATTAGAGCTGAGGCCTGTCCTGAGGTTTTCTTATTAGCGTGACCACCTTAACTTTAATCAGCAGCCTATGAATGAATACGCCCATGTCTCTGAAAGATGCTATCCCCTTTTATTTGCTTTTTTGGTGTTAATACACATGTGTATCCATTTCTTGTCACTAACAAGAGGACTAATTTTATTTCCTTGGGCTGTAGCTTTTAGCATTTGATACTTTGTTGCTGTTTTGGTTAGGCATGTAATTGCATCTGTATGTTTTCAAATAGTTAGAATCTGAAGTTTCTTTGAAGATTTTCATGTGGAAATTTAATGTATGTTTTTAACATGTATTTTTTTAAAAAAACATAAGAAAAGTTAACTCACAATATATCACTTATGATAGGTTTATTCACAACATTTTCAAAGAAATGAATTACCTGGAAAAAAATAGTTCTGAAGATGTTAAGTAACTGCTTGGTATTTTGACTGGTTCCCTAAAAGGTGTTTATGTCTGCTCTTATTCCATTTTCTGAACAGCAATGATTATTTAAATCATCTGAGTTAGGAACTGTTGTTTAATTGCAGTGATTAGTTTTATGAAATACTCTGAGATTTTTTTCCCTTCAGACATTGGTTTTGAAATGAAATACAATTTTATTTAAAATAGTTTTCTTGAAAGGTAATCTTAGTAAAAATTGACCTAACAGTTAAATAGTGTATTGCAGTTTTCAGTATAGTTTGGTTTTCAAGTGGTTGGAGTTGAATACATTTTAGCTATCCAGTGCACACCTTTGTAAATTATAACAACTCATTCACTTATTTTTTCAAATGTTCATGTCCTTTAGTATAGAGAAACATTTTATGTAAATATGTTCCCTGTGATGTCATTATACCTCAACATTACACGATCCCATTTATTTTTCTTTTAGAAGTATAATCCCACTTTTATTAATTTTGCTTTCCTTTTCATATTTTGTGGTATACACTTAGGGGAAATAGTTTTTATATTTATTACAGAAAGTAAAAATTATTTAATAACCAGTTATTTGTAGTATGTACTATGCAAATTTAAAATCACTACGTATCTCATTCCTTTTGATAAGAAAAATAGTAATTTTTCTTTTATAAAACTATCTTACAACTGTCTTTTAGAATAAAAATTTATTCAAGCACATTGTAGTTTAAAAATAGGTACTCTAGAATAAACTCACTGAAAAATATTTGTCTCCATTTAATATAAAACTAACTGGAAGGCAAAAATTAAATACTTAATACAGAAAACACACCCAGTTGGTTTTTTACATGAAAATATTCTTTTGCAGAGTTTTATTCTATATAGACTAGTAAAAAAAAATCATCTGTATTTTGAAACAAAGATGGAAAATAATTGTTTTATTTGATACCCTGTTGCCTTAATATCACAAAGTTTTAACAAACCTTTTATTTAAAAGTCCCTCCCTTCAGGTTTTCATTGATTCTGCTATGAAGGGACAATCGTCATATAACATCTACCCATTCATGTTCCGTGAAAGTAAAATATGCTCAAGTGACCTTAATGCTCAAGAATTGATTTACTATTTTATGTACAATACAGGCATTTGTTCTGGTTAAACTGAAGGGGAGTTATCATAGATGTGTACTCTCTCTGTTAGAATAAGTGGAATCTTAGATGTTTTCATTAACTGGCGTAATATGTGAAACAAACAAAAGGGACTCCAAGTCTTGCAGGATGTCACTTCATGATCACTATATTTTTATTCACTTCTCACAATACATTTGCATTTTAGACTGACACTTGTCTATCACTGACTCCAGAATCTCTGTGAAAAATATCATTCCTACATGTTTCCTAGCAGTAGAAAATACTGCTTTCTAAAGGAATACTGTTTCAGAATGTTGACTTTATGTTTTGCTAAAGAGTTATATAGAATTTATTTTGTTTGGGAATTTAAAGGTGCTATTTAAACAATATCTATTTTAGAGGAGGCATTGATTTAATCCTAATACATAGTCTCTACATCTTATTTAAAAGAATGATGGAAAATTTTATTACCAAGGAATATATGAAACAGCATCTGTTAATTTAGTAAAGATAAGTATACAATTAAATTGTATCTAAGCATTTTAATATTAGGGTATGTTCTATGTTTCATGAGACCGCTGAGTAGATCAATTGGGGCACAGCCAAACTAAGGCTTTCCAGTTTGGATTTTAGGTTAGTTGAAAAGATATCAGTCTATGCTAGTGTTCACGTTATATGGAAAACATTTATTCCACTCTGGGCTGGCATCCTGAGTAAAGGTGAGATTTCACATCTGGCCATAGAATGAGTTATGAAATTGATCAGTAATTTTGTTTCCATATTTGTTTTAAAAGAACCATCTGTGACAGAACTTGCTTAAGGTTTTGAATTTTATTTGTCTATATCTTTCATGGATTTCAGGATTTTGTTTGGCTTTTCCTCCTAATTAAAGTTCTTGTTTAGTTAGGAGCACTGTTACAGACACATGTTCATGATTTTTGAGTTTGGATAGATGGAATGTTCATGATGGAATGATATCTTTGAAAAAATGATGGACAGGCTAGCAGATCTTGTAGGAAGAGAATTGGGCAAAAATATTAAAATATATAGATTGTGTAGCTTTTCTTGAATATGAATTATATTTTGTATACAACATAGAAGTCTTCTAGTATTCTTTACTGCTTAATTGAAATGTACTTTCTCTGTTGTATATACAATTAAGCATAACATCGAGAGAGGGAGAATATAATCTTGAATTTGGGTTTGAGTCACTACTGTACTACTTTCATTGTCTTTTGTAAGTTACTTCTCTGAGCCTTGTTTAATTCAACTGAAAATGGAGATTATAACAGTGTCTAGCTCAGATTTCGGGGAAGATTAAGTGACATGCCTAAAGGATCCATGTAAAGCCCTTAATACAGTGGCTGGCACATAGTAAATTGTCAGTAGATGTTAGCTATTATTGCTATAATGCTGAGTAGTTCATGTACTATGTTAGAACATGGATGCATTGGTTTTATTAATTTAATAATTATTAGTAATGAGTGATTCATCTATATCCAAAGAGTCAAACTATAAAAAAAACAATTTTTTTTTTTCAGTTAAAGAATCCAAGATTAAACTTTTTGGCAAAGAATAAGAAACCAAGATGTTTCAATATTTTAGAAGTGTAAGGAATCCAATATCAGTAAAACTTATTATAAAACATGGAATACTGTCAAAAACATGCATAACAAATATTTGCTTCAGTCTTTAAACATCATGTTAAATAACTGATCTTAAGACAGTGTGGAAAGTACTTTTTAACAAGTGATTAATATACATATTTAGGGAATATCAAACAGATCAGACTATCTACATTAAAAATTATTACTGTATGGGCCTCTAGATTAGCTGCCAAAACAATAGCCTCTCTTTCTGAGTTTCTCTAGAATTTCCAGCAGCAAAGTAAGTCAGTAGCATCCCATTCTGCAGTCAGCTCCACACGACCACCCAGGAACTTGTCTCTCAAGCCAGCTGGAAACTCCTCCAGGTTCCTCAGGTTTTTCAGGAAATGATGTATAGTGTCAGTTCTCCCTCGCCATAAAATCCTGGTGGTCTGCCCGTTCGCCTCTTGCTCTGTTTCCTTCTCTGTCATCTCCACCCACTTTTCCATTTTTCCTCTGTCTTTAATGATACACAAATTACAAGTGCTTTCCATCAGGTTCACGGTGCATTAACGTGCTCATCATAGGCCAACCCTGATATTCCTGGAGATCACAGGGTGTGCACCAGATCACAGTTAGGGCCCGGGAATGGCTTGACCTCTTCCGAGGACAGATGTGAGCTTTAGACAGACTGGTTCTCTGTGTGCCCAAGACCATTGGAGAGTCAGAATTGAGATTCTCCCTTCCCCACCTGCAGGTAGAAACATGTGGCTTTCAGGGACATATGGCAGATGTTAATAATCAACGGACTTAATTGGGTTGCCGTTACACTCATTTATACCTCAAATGGTATCAGTAAGATTACTCACTGAAGCACGTTCGTCAAAAATCATTCTGTTCACTCAGTGTTAGAATTTATTGGCATCTGCTGTGGGCCAAGTTCATATTTTTGGTTGAGCTCTATCTTGGCTACTGTTTTTCTAGTTATCTGAGCTGCAATCTGGCAGCTTGGGAGGCTGCATATGGCTCTTAAACATTGTTTGGCACACGGAGTGTTTGAAGGTGTTTTTTTGTTTTTGTGTTTTGGTGCCTGTAGCAGAGGCATGCAGTCTTCAGTCATGGTCACGTCCTAGTGTTCACCAGGCTCTCCTTACACATTTTCTTTTAACGTTTAACTCCTTATATATTTTTTTCTCCTTACATGTTTATTTTATTTTAACTGGCCCAGGTAGGTGTAAGAGTCTTGAACCAGCTAACCCACATGTTGTTAATTTTATTCGAATGTCTTTAGAAAATGAAGTAGTTTTCCAGTGAGAATGAGATGTGTATTTTAAATACTTTGATTTCCAGAAGAATTAATGTTCTCAAACTTGGCTGTTAGATTGTGTATTATATAATATAGGTATACTTTTTTTGTTCTAGGTATGTTTTTACTAAATCACTAGAACATAAACATACAAGTTTATGTAATTCAGTTTTTGCCTGTGTCTTACCAGAATTACAGTAGAAGTTCTGAGTTTTTTTGTTTGTTTGTTTGTTTGTTTTTTTGGTAAGATGACTTATATTCAAGCAATAAAATAATTGTAATTTCAGTAACTTTTCTCTCTTTGAGGGAGTTTTGCATTTCATCTAAGGGTCATTTTCAGAATAGTCTGAATTTATCTTTATAATATTTGCAGTTAGATGGAACCAAAGA